TGTGTCACCACTACAACCTTACCAGATTTTGCATTTCTCCGTATAGTTACCTTTACCAGGGAGCTTTATATTTTTGGATGCTTTTATGTTCTATCTTTTAATTTTAACTTGCAAGAATCCCTTTAGAAATTCTTGTAAGGCAGGTCTAGTGGTGATGAACTCCTTCAGCAAAGGTTGTGTGTGTGTGTATTTTGATCTTGCTATGCACACCTGAACTCACTATGTAGCCCAGGATGGCCTCAAACTTGCGAGGCTCCTGCCTCAGCCTCCTGAGTGCTCTGATTACAGGAGTGTGCCACCATACCCAGCCCTCTTCTATTTCATTTTTGAGGGATAGTTCTGCCAGATACAGTATTCTTGGTTGTTAAGGGTTGTTGCCGTTTTAACACACTTTAAACGTATCATCCCATTCTTTTCAGGCCTATAATTTTTCTGCTGACAAATCCACTGACAGACCTAAGGAGACCTTCTTTATGTATAACATGTCACTTCTCCCTTCCTGCTTTGAAGATTTAACTTCCGATAGCTTTAGTGTAGGTCTTGGTGTAGGTCTCTTTGGGTTCATCCTATATGAAGTCCTTTGACCTTCCTGAATTCAGATTTCCACTGTCTCTCTCTCTCTCTCTCTCTCTCTCTCTCTCTCTCTCTCTCCCTCCCTGCCTCCTTCTCGGACACCCACAACGTGTATATTGTTCACTTCATTCACTTGATGTTTCTCCAAAGTCCCTTATGCTTTCTTCACTTTTTTTCTTTTCCTTTGACTTAAAAATGTTTCTTTTTGAAAAATGAAAAAAAAAAAAAAAGAAAATGTTTCTTTTTTAAAAAAAAAGTAATTTCTATATCTGTTGATACTCTCACTTTATTCACTCACTGCTCTCCTCATTTTGTTTAATTCTGTTCTTGTAAGTTCTTTAAAAATTGTTTTGGATTCTTTGTCAGGTAATTCATAGATTTCTGTCTCTTTAGGGTTGCTTTTTTGAATTTTACTCCTTTGAGTAGGTCATGACTCCCCTTTTCTTTGTGCCTTTGTTATTTTCAGTTTTGCATTTTAAAAAACAGCCACCTCTTCCACTCTTTCCAGAGTGAATTTGTACAATAGATGTTGTGTGCTAATCGATCCAGAAGTTCTGGGTGGGGGGGTGTCTCTCAAACCTTTCCCAGAAATGTCTCTTTTCTGGGCTTGTACATGCAATTTTCCAATTTGAGAGCTTAATGGTCTTATTTTTCAAGAGCTTATAATATTTTGCGCCCTCTGGTGTCTGTATGTAGTACTACAGGTTGTCTGGTGCTCCAGGCTGCTGAGCTCACTGTGATCCCCAGACATGCAAAGTACGCCAGTCGCCTGTCAGTGCTACAAGTCAGACAAGAAAGACATCAGTCCCTCTAGCAGCACCCAGAAGAACCGAGTTCTATTCTTCTCTTTCTCCCAAGGGAGAACCATAACGCATTCATGGCTCAAGCCTCCATCTGCAGCACTGTCAGTTCTCCTGTGCTAAAACAAACCACTTAGCTTTCTTTTGTCGCCTGATGCCCAGGCACCCAAGTAGGCTGGTTCTCCATCTGTGCTCCAAGTCAGTTCCTCAGACAACCTCCCTGGAAAGCAGAAATGCTGGATGCACATGCCACCCTCCCTCCTGAGGGAGTGACCACACACTGGGCTTGCCAAGCTGCCCCTGTGTGGGGAGGGGCTGTCACGTTGATACGAAGTAGGATACTGTGACCTTCAGTGTGGCTCTGCTTGACCTTGAGCATGTCTGTGATACAGCAACTTCTCACTGGTTTCTAGAGTTCTCATAATGGCTTTTTTGGCTGTACCTGTTGTTGTATGATGATGTCTTTGTGGGGGATGAGATCTGGGGAAAGCCAGATCTCATCTGGTATGTCTGATATGATTCCTCGATAATTTCTTAGTGCCTATTATTGTTTCCTATTTTGGCAATGACCTGCTTATCCATCTGCACGCAGAAGTGTGCGCTTCTTCGTGACTGACTTGCAGAGGTCACTTCTACATTTTTCACGTTGTTCTATAGATTACAAGTAACTTCCAAGTCTTTGTCTGGTCAGTTTGATTTGCCAATAGTTTTAATATTCTCAGGTGATTTTTTTAAAAAATTACAAACTCTGTGACATACTTTGAGAGTCTGGTGTAAGGAGTGCATATATATTGCATCTCACCAACATGTAAGCTCCCTCTGAGATGTTTTTAAATGCCATCATTCAAAGGGTCCATTATTCAACATTCACCTCACAGCTGAGTCAAAGTCATCATCTGCTCAGCAGGCATGGCATATGTTTATCCATTCATGGATATTTGCGCTGCTTCCACTTTTTCGTGAACATTCATACAGAATCATTTGTGTGCTTATTAGCTGTTTGTGTAGAAGTTTTAGTGAACATGTATGTCAATCTTTTGCCATTTTAAGCTGGGTTACTTGTCTTCTTCATGTATACTCAATTCTTCATATATTCTACATGAGGCCTGTTATCAAACATATGATTTGAAAGTATTTCCTCACAGCTTATGACTTTTCTTTTCGTGTTTTAAATTTTGGCGTTATGGCTTGGGTATGCCATGGCTCCAGAAGCTCATGCATTCGAATGCTTGGTCCCAGCTGGTGGCACCATTTTGGAAGACTGTGGAAACTTTAGGTGGTAAGACCTAGCAGGAGGAAGGAGGGTAACTGGGGTTGTGTCTTTGAAGGTTACATCTGACCCCCAGGCTCCTACTCTTCCTGTCCACTTTGAGTGGAAGAACCTTCTTCACCACATGCTCCCATCACCATGCTGTTCTGCCCAAGGCCAAGGGCCAAGCAACCAGGGACTGAACCTCCAAAACCACGGGCCCAGAGAGATCATTCCTCCTTTTAGTTGTTTATGGCAGGTGTTTTGGTCACAGCTACACAAAAGTAACTAACGCAGGTGGTAACGGACTTTAAAAATTTTATCTGTTCACTTGTTAATGGCCCTTTGGATTATTTCTGCTTTTGAACCATTACAAATAAAGAAGCTATGAACATTCATATGTAAGTATTCAGGAGCACCCATGGCTTCATTTGTTATGAGTAAACACCCAACAGGAATTGCTGTTGTGTGTGCTGCTTAATGCCAGGCTGTTCACCAATGTGGCTGTATCATTTCAGTCTCCTGGAATGCAGGCATGCAGGAGACCCACATCTTCCTCAACACGCTGAAGTGAGTATTTTACATCTCAGTCACTTGACAGAGTACAGTGGAATCAGTTTCTTATTTAATGTTTTATTGTGGTAAAGCCTAAGTAAAATGATGATTATTACTTAGCCATTTGTAAGTGGCAACAACTAACTGACATTAAATACATTCACATGATGTCTTCTCATCACTACTACCATGCCCAAAGGTTTTCATCAAGTCTTTTGATGCTCTCAATTCTTTTGGATACACCTAGCAGTGGGTTTTCTGGGTCCTCTGGGAGGAAAACGCACCGTTTTACATTTGCACAAGAGCTCGGATTTCTCTCCAACCTTCAACTCTTGCTGTGTTCATTCCTCCCTCCTCCTTTGACAATAGGAGTGAAAAGGTGCATCACTGTCCTTTGGATTTGCATTTCTCTGGTGGGCAGTGATGTTGAGCATTTTCTCGTGTGCGTATTGGCCAGTTGTACGTCTTCCTGGGGAGAATGTGTATTCGAGTGATCTGCCTTTATTTTTTTCTTTTATGTCATGCTGGGAACTGAACCCAGAGCCCTGTCCTATACAAGGCAGGCACTCTGACACCAAGCTGTATCTCCAGCTCCTGCCCATTTTTGAACTGGGTTTTTGTTGTTGAAGAGTTTATTACATATTCTAGATATTACTTTCTTATCCGTCTTATCAGAGAAGTTTTGTATTTTCTTTCTTTTGGGGGGAGGGGAGACAGGGTCTCATTACTTAGCCCAGGTTGGCCCTGAACTCACAATCCTCCTGCCTCAGTCTCCCAAGGGCTGGGATTTCAGGTGTGCACCACCATGACCGGCTCAGAGACATTACCCATAAAAGTTTTCATTCATTCAGTAGGCTGTATTTTCTTTCCTGAAGTATCCTTTGATTCACAAAAGTCCTCAAAATTTTTTATGATGCTGGGGATAAAACTCAGAGCCTCAAGCAACCTATGCATCTCCTACTGGCTGCACACTGAGCCCCAAAATTCATGTTAATAAACACCCAATTTTTCCAATTGTCTTCATTGCTTATACTTCTGGTGTCTTGTCTGAAACACCACTGGCCAAGCCAACATCACGAAGGTCTCTCCTAACATTTTCTTCTAAGAACTTGACAGTTTACTTTACCAGCTAGATACAATGGATTCCTACTGGCTGAGGGCAGAGACCATTGCTGACAGAGCTTCTGATGGCAGCAGTTTCACACACACACATACAAAAAATTATAAAGCCTCTTAAATGCCCAGATTTTTTTGGTTAACGATTTGTTAAAAATGAAATGATTTGTTACCAATGAAAAGAAAGTAATGAGATTAATTGCTTTTTAATTTGTCTGAATCTATTTATTGTGTAGTCGAGATTTGGGAATATTATGTTTCTTAAAATTGGTTACATGTGCACATCGACTACCTGTTATTGCCCTGTAAATGCCCTGCTTGTGAGTGTGATGGCACACAACTGCACGCTGTGCACACAGCACAGTGGGGCACTTCAGAGGCCCACACTCGCCCCTCCGTGTCCTCTTCCACAGTGAGGGCCTGGGGGCAGCCTCAGTGTTCCTGTCTTTGGTGTGTCTTGCTGTATATGTAGGGCTTTTTCCCTAACAGGCACACAAAAGATGTTGCTTGATTTACATACGGCCCTATAAGAGTTGAGAAAATAGTGACTGAAAAAGAAAATTTGAAAGAACTCAGTTTGTGAAGTCCTGCAGGAAAATAATCTCTGTACCCAGAATGTAAGCATAACTAGAACATGCTTTTCCCTCTCACAGCTGAACCGACAGGTTTTGGACCTTGAGAGGAGGGATGTTTAGTTCAACACCTACCGACTCGGAGTGTTAAATCCATCAGAACGACTCTCCTTGAGTTCAGACACTAATGATAAAACCATCTGCAAAACAAAACGAGTGGCAGGTTAACTCCTGCTGCAAACAGCCTGGTGTGAGTGGTGCTTCCGCTGGGCCCCTCCCCATCCTTTCTCAGAATGAAGAGAAGGCAGTGCCAAGTCATAGGCACTCAGGAGCAGGCTTTGACATCCAGTGCCCATTCTCCTGCATTCCTGCTCAGGCAGTGAACAACAGGCAGACCATTCATCCCTCTGAGAACCACAACCCAACCCACTAGAACCAAAAGCATGTTAGAGCTGATTTCGCTCTTCTTCCTTAATTTAGTTCTTTATTTTAAGATGCTTTTCATGTAAAGAGCGTCCATAGACAAAAACACTAACGCACATTAAAAACCTATTTTTAGAGGAGTTATATAAGATCACAAATTATAATCTCTTGAATTTGGTTAAAACTAAAGGCAGCAGAAAAAAACATGTTTAAATACCAATATACAAATATGTACTACTGTCTGCCTGGCTATTTAGTGAATTTTCTGCTTTGCTACAACGTAAAACTCGAGTCAGGTTATTTCACATAGGTCTGTCTGGCAGTACAGGTGGTGTTTACACGGGCAGGGAACGCTCTTCTCCCCAAGCCTTGAGTGAATACGTGAGGGCAGTTATCAGAGAGACCATGTAGTGGGTTTACTGAGACCTTTGCAGTTCCGTCCTCCTCTCCCAGAGTCTTCCCTCTCACAGTTCTTCCCTTACATGGCCGTAAGTCCACCCCAGGTAAGAAAGATGAACAAAAGTCAAACAACTCCCCAGCAGGAGCAAAGTGTTTCCATTTGTCCTTTCTGCTGATGGCACATTCAGCACTGAGAACTTCAACAGTGATAAATTCAACATACTCACATTTTCAAGCACACCTGGACAGTAATCCACAGGCTCATACCCAAGACCTTGAGTGAAAACACCAAATTCTTTTATATCAAATCTGAATGCTGACAGTAGATGAGACAATAAACCCTAAAAGAAAAAAGTGAACAGAAAGAGGAAACGTCAACCTTCTTAAAAGTGGATGAAGTGCTTAGTTTAGCGTCTGTAATTTGTACGTGGGACAGACAGTCCCTAGGAAACGGGGATCCCACCTCATAAACACCCAGGTCACTGATTCAGGAGCAAAAAAGAAGTCAGTCAGCATTAAAATCCTTAAAACTGAGTCAATGTAAACAAGTGTTAACAGTGAAATACTCTAATACTAGATAATGAATGGTCAGTGCTTCCCCATATTAAGAACTGGATCATTATTTTTTTGAATTTTTTTATTATTGTTGTACTGGGGGTCCGCTGAAACATTTATAAGAGTTCTTACAATATGTCATAGTGCAATTCACTCCCTCCCTCATTCTCCTTCCTGTCACCAAGCCCCCATCATTGTTTTTAAACTCAGCAGAACATTTTTATCAAAGTAGATACAGAATTTAGTACATGCAAATAATAGCACAAATCAGTAGGGAAAGGAATGATTCTGTTAAAAAATAGCCTGGAAAACTGAGTACTTAAAAGAAACTTACATTAATACCTTACACTATTCACCAAAATACACTCACTTAATGAAACGAAATAATAAACAAGAAGAAAATAAAAGTATTTTTCAAATGTCCAAATGAGGAAGAGCTTTGTAAACTGAAAAGTCAAACTAGAAAAAGCATAAGGTAAAAAGGCTGCTTTTTCTCTTCTTTTTTGTCGGTACACTGGGGTTTGAACTCAGGGTCTTATGCTTGCTGCGGGCTCTATCACTTGAGCCACTCCAGCAGCCCACGAATTGAAAGCCTGTTGGGGTTCTACAAAACAGGTGTTCTCTGTGAGCGACAGAGGAGTATCACTGTCTTCCACGTGACAGCATGGTTGTGCGCTGTAACACGGCCCACAGGCCTCCTGCCCAGGAGTGTGGCACCTGATAGGATGACAGAAGCCCTGCCATGTGGAATGCAACTTGAAAACCCATGCCTTCAAAGTGCTCAGAGTCTTAATGTGCCCAGCTTACACTTAAGGAAATAAGTAAGTGTGACGCTGGGCCAAGTGTCCAAAGATGGGGGCCGCAATTCCCTTGTGCAGGGCTTCCTGGAGTGTCACCACAATGTTTGTCAGGAATTTATGCAGCACTTAAATGCTTTTAAATGGCTATAACATTAAATGAAGAAAGAAGATATGAGATTCACCCAGAAATGAGCTCGTCAATTTAAAAATAACTCAAATACAGGAGCGGAGAAGAGGCTCCTGTATGTGTGCATATGTTATTTCTATGATAGGCAAGGATATTGTTTGAAAAAGTGTTTTGTTTGGAAACATTTAGTATTTTTAACAGCATCTTAAATAAAATACTTAACAATTAACAAGCATGGCACTAGAACCCGTCAGTGTGTCACTTGGTGGGATTTTAGTGTAGTCACAGTGAAATGTCATTTTGCCTTTTTGTCTTGTTTTTGAGACAGGGTCCCACCGCATTGCCAGGCTGGTCTTGAACTCCTGGGCTCAAGTGCTCCTCCCATCTCAGCCTCCTGCGTCTCTGCGACTGCAGACATGCACCACCACGCCCAGCTCATGTTACATTTTTAAAGTAAGTCTCCACTGCATTTTGTACTTATCTATGCACATAAATGTATGTGTGTAAACTCACTCACAAATCCTTGAGATGACATCCTAATGCAGGTGGAGCTAAGGGTTCCCTGAGCCAACAGCAAGTCCCACAGGCCCAAGACAACCCATGACACACATGCCAGTGACAAGCAGGAACTTTATCATTCTGTGTCATGGTGCTCATTTCATCATCAATAATTTCACACATTCAAAAAGATTTAAAACACGACAAATTTCACCCACCAGGGACTTACAAATGCTGACGACAGCCCCAGGAGTCGCTTCCACGTGCTTTTCAAGCCCACGTACACAGGATGTGAGAAGGGATGGTGTGGTGTGCAGCCACAAGGGAAAGCAGATGCCTGCAGCCGCTGGGCTCTTCAAGAAAGGGAGAGGGGCAGGGTTTACACCACAAGGAGGCATGTGGTGCATTCAGCTAGTGAGAGTGGGCTTGCTTCCCCCTCTGGGATAGCAAGCAGGGGCTCTAGGCAAAGGAAAAGCCAGTCATATGTCAAATCCACCTTGGCAGGGGAGGCAGGGGGCAGGCAGGCTTGATTTGGACATGAGGGGCTCAGGGACAGGTCAGTCTGGCTGGGGTTTTCATGGATGGGATCGGAGGGATGCCAGGTGAAGGGAGAGCAGTACTGGAAGCGCTCCATCTCCTGGGAGCAATTAAAGTACTTCCTTAAAGGCAGCAGGAGCTGTTCTAAATGTTTCACAAACAGACCTACATACAGTCCTCAGGCTGCGGGTAGTCCTCTACCTGACTGTGCCTCACAGGTGACAAAACTGAGACTCTGAGTGTAAGTGGCTTACTCAAGGCGGGGACCTATTCTTATAGCCAAATCTTACAAGCACCCTCCCTGCACCCACTCCCCCTAGAGAAGGTTTGGGCTGTGTCTACTGACACGATGCTGACTGGCCTCAGCTCCAGACCCTTAAGGCTCCCAGTCACTCTTACTGCGAAGTCCAAGTGTCTCCCCAAAGTCAAGAAGGCTGGTGCACCCGCTCAGACGCACCCCCATTCCTGTTATCAGGCTGACTTTCCCTCACTGGCAGCATATCTGTGACCCAGAAAGACCATAGGGACCATAGCCTCTATGGTCCCTCAGGACTTCAGTATGTATCATTCCCTCTGTCGGGGGCGGGGGGGGGAGCTCTCCAAGCCCCTTCACCTGGTTAAATGTCACTTCTTGAAGAATTCTAACCATTATGACTATAAAAGTCAATAAAATCTACTGAGTGCTTACCACACATGAGGTACTGGGCTAAATTCTCTAACTATGGCATCTCACTAAACCCCAAGCTCAGTTTTTTACTCAAATTCTATTTAGCAAAGTTCCAATTAAGCCACCCATAAACACACTGAAGCAATCACTAATGTACTTCACAAGACTGGCCCTTACAAAGCGGAAGCCCAGGTAGGACTGACTTTTCCATATGGAAAGCAGTTTCCAGGCAGAGCAAGCAAGGTCAGCTAAGACTGGAATTCTTGACTGGGTGTGGCACAGGCCTGTGGCCCTAGCTACTTGGGGTCTTGACATTGACAGATTCAGAGGGTGTGGCCATGGACCCTAGGTAATTCCTGGGTAATGCTTCTAACACCTGCATCTGTACAAGTTGACTTTAACGCGTAAAGTCTAAAAAATGAAAATACAGTCGTTCCTTCTTATTCACGGGAGATATAGTCCAAGACCTCCCCTCTGGATGTCTAAAAACACAGAAAGTACTGAGCCCTAGATTTACTATGTTTTTCCCTATACAAAAATACCTATGATAAAGTTGATAAATTAGACATAGTAAGAGGTTAGCAATAATAAAATAAAACAATTATAACAATATGCTGTAAGACAATTGCCAGAATCACTACTTTTGTGCTTTGTGGCATTGATAGCAAAAGAAGAGCTACCTGAAAGAGCACCCTTGTATCAAGACAGTGTATCTTACAAGCAAGATGGCAGCCAGTGGCTGATGGGAGGATGGAGGGCACGAAGGTGCAATTCAAGGCCTGGGTAGGATGGAATTAAGAAATCAGCATACTACTCAGGATGGCATGCACCTTTTAAAATTAATGAATTGTTTATTTCCAGAATTTTCCATTTAATATTTTGGACCATGGTTGGCGATGGGTAACTGAAAGGGGAGAAAGTAAAACCTAGGATAAGGAAGGACTGCTGTAACTTACCTAGTACATGGCTCCTGACTTAATTTCCAAAATGATACGGTTAGAAAATTTCTGAAACTCAAAAGCTGTATGAGTTTGATTCCCAACACCACAAAAACAATCCCCTCACCAAATCAAACGTTATCTAGTTCCCTATCCCACTTTTAAAAACTCCCAGACCCTCTACATAATACTTAGTGCTGGCAACAATGTGGTGAGATGGGCACTCTGCCGCTGTTGGGAACACAAATGTGACTTTCTGAGAAGTCACTTGGTAATGTCTGTCTGCCCCCAAATGCAGCACTGTTGAGAAGTGACAAGGGTTGGGACTTCACGAATGAATTAAGGTTGCTACCTCGGTAGTGGGCTAGTTATCGAAGCAGCGCGCTACTGATGGAAGGGTGAGTCCCATCCCTTCTCTCTCTTCTGCGAATTTCTTGCCTTTCCCCTCTGCCGGGGACAGTGCAGCAAGAAGTCCCCACCTGACACCGGCACCTAGCCCATGGGCCTCCCAACCTCCAGGACTATGAGGAACACATTTCTGTCCTTTAGTAATTACTCAACTCAGGTACTTTGTTACAGCAGCACAAGACAAAGATAGCAGTTGAAGCATTAAAATTTATATCCTATTACCCAGTAATTCAATTTCCAAGAGTATATCCTGAGGAGAGATTTAGGTTAATAGTCCCATTACTTATAACAATAAAAACTAGGCTCAAGGGGAGGAGGGGGAAGAGGGAGAATGATGGAGGGGGTAAATCTAACTAAGACATATTGTAAGCACATATGTAAATGTCACAATGTATCCTCCTGTACAACTATTATATGCTAACAAATTTTTTAAAAAGGGCACTGGCTAAGTGCCATTATTTAGTTGCATGCTTTGACACTGTCCGTTTAATCTAATCCTTCCTCAAAGTACACAGGGGTAAATTAAGAACACAAAGAGCCAACATCTTGCATTTCCTCTTTGTGTCTTTCAGGTCTTTAATCCAAACGTTACTTAAGTAAGTTCCTCCCTAGATATCCTTCCTAAACATTGGAACATCCTATTTTACTGTTTGCTAATGGTCACTGTAATATTCTGTATACTCCATTCAAGCTCCATGATACCAGGCATTCTATCAGTTCTGTTCATGACTGGCACATCATTGGTGATCAGCAAGCATTTGCGAAAGAGTAGATGAATGTATGAGCAAGTATTTAGTGAGTCGTGAGGTTA